ACAACTCGCGATGGTGGCGCCGAGCGATGCGGTCGATGCGGAGCCAAGGGAGGTGGAAGGTCGCCGGACGCGCGCGAAGAGTGCGGGGAAGAAGGAGCGTCGCGTCGTCAAGTTGAGTATAAGGTACAAGATGGTTCGTGGTAAGCCGACGCTTACGAAGAAGGCGAGTTAAACGAAAAGTTATGCGGTGTACCAGGGGGGCGCGAGACGGACGGGTTCGCCGAGATATGGGGGTTCGGAAGCTGCGCAGTAGTATTATAGTGCGAGAGATATGATGCTATGGAGCGTGGAGTAACTCGCGGTGTGCATGCGTTCGAGAGAGTGGCGGAGCGTTCTCGTATTCTACAGGCAGCATTGCTATTCCTGCGCTATCAGCATAGACGAATGTAAATGTACCCGTATGCGAAGATGGTTGTTCTTGATGAGTTGTAAATGAGGTGTTTCCCTTACGTATACATCACCGTCCTTACATGGGGGGTGCAACTTCAAGCACGATGTATATGCTAACATTGTACCCAACTCGGGATAATCAGGTCACTTCGCGACGCGTCTCGATACGCTCATGCAACGCCATCCTCAGACGAAGCACGATGGCCATCGGGGATGGATCTCGCCACAAAGTCGATGACGTATCTTGACAGTGAAAGTGAGTCTGAAAGCCGCTACGCAAAGGCGTACGACGTGTTTGAGTAGGTAAAGGTGCTGCGTAATACTGGAGCCTGGAGACTCACCATCACAGGCAATGTTTTGCAGGCGCCCGGACGCCGGAGTTCTCCCGACAGCAGGCAGAAAAGGTACGTGCGACGCTACTGGACCTCACGTGACGTCTAGCGCGCCAAGGCCAGGGCCAGTATATATCTCTGCCGTCCCTCTGCCTCCTCTTCTGTTCCTTAGCTCTCTTTGCCTTTTGGCTTAGGTACGTCCACTTTACCCTCCAACTTTGAACCCCACTAACATCCCCTAGATCAAGTGTAGTATCTGTTCTTTTCAGTTTAATCTCTGAAACTCTCCCACGGGAGAATTCTTGATTATTCCTATTTTTGAAACCAGTCGAGGAGGCTCTGGGCTTGCTCATCTTCCTTGACACAGTGTCGCCAGTATTTCACTACCTCTGGCAGACGCGACTTTTTCATTAAGACTTCTGGCTTGCCAGTCGCTTGAGGAAGAAGCCTGATATTAAGATTGAAATGTGCTGGCTCTTTGGAGACAGTTGACGACTGAAAACATAATCATCTGTATGCAACGCCGTTATATGATACTAAATGCTTGAGCGTGATATGCCCTCCATTCCTCGTTATCAAGCATCTACTCGCATGATCCAAGGCATCTCTACTCGCCATTTGCATGAAGGTAAAAGCAAGGGCGGTACTGTGTTCGTCTTGTGCAATCCTTGGCGGTAATGTACATCTTGTCGTTGAAAGCAAGCATTAATCAAGGTCATTGCATGACATGAACTATTGTCATGAAGTGTTGTCTACAAGTGCTTGGAGTGAGGTGGTGGTTGCCATGTCACGCAGCATTTGGTGGCGCACGCCTGTTACCTCTCCTTGAATGTGCTGCATGTCGATGGTGACACCTGCTTATATGGCCCATTTGACGCGGGCGAACCGTACATGCACATCTCGTACAAATGGTAGCCTGATTCGTGTGGTTGCAGCTTAATAAAAGCAACTTTGCGCGGTGAGTAGTGAGAGACCAAAATTTCGTAGCTTGCCGTGACAAACAATCGTCAACTCAGCCACCAACACGAACTTCCTCGCAACAACGCCTCAATACCATACCACACGTCAAAATGGCAGCGAACTCAGGTATGGTCAACCCAGCCATTTTCCAGGACCTCCAGGCGCGCGTAGACGAAGACACTGCTACCCGGGATGTAAGTGGCGGCCGATGGAGCTGCACGTGATAGCGTACTCACAACGCGACAGGAGCTGCGCGACATCATCCAGGCGCTTGAGAAGCACAGTGAGTATTCTCTACAAGAGCAGCGGACTATACTGACATATTGTAGACCGCAACGTCTCATTCGTGTTGTCTAGAGCCCACTCGACACCTGTCAGCGAGCGTAAGTCGCTCTGCACAGGTCTGGTGACACCACAACTAAACGAACTGCAGTGCCTGACATCCTCAAAGCGGCACAAGAGCCTATCGGAAATGTGATCGACACCGTTGGCAACCTGTCGCAGGCTGCGTCCAAGATGCCGTATTACAAGTTCAACAACATGTGGAGCCGTCAGATGCAGGGCGCAGTAAGCTCATCAACCACACGATATCGCTATCGCAATACTGACAACACGGCAGTGCGAGAGCGCTTTGTTCTGGGGCTGGCTCGGTGGTTACAAGTACGACGGTGGTGAGGTGCAATGCGGCCGTCTCTTGACCATCGAGGAGCTCGGCGAGATCTTCAAGAGTACGTTCAAGATTACAATGTACATGCTCATCACTAATTCTACCAGTCCCCGTGAACCTCAAGGACCGCGATGAGTTCCACCTCTCGCTCGAAGAGTACCTCCATTCTCTCATGACGCTCGTCGAGGAACTGGTTCGTTGCCTCGCTCAGCTCCAACCCGCATCAATGCTGACAATGACAGACACGTCTTGCACGTAACGCAGTCACTCTCGGTGATTACGAGCGTCCGCTTCTCATCAATCAGTTTGTCAAGGACTTGCACGCTGGTTTCCAGATCCTCAACCTCAAGAACGACAGCTTGCGCCGCCGCAGCGATGGATTGAAGTACCGAGTCAAGGATGTGGAGGACGTTGTCTATGATCTGTCTTTGAGGAACTTGCTACCGAAGAAGGGCGAGCAGAAGCAGTAGATGTCTGCAAGGTGATGCTGGAGGAATGCTACTACCCAGATACATGTCGCACGAGAAACACGCTACGAGATGAGCAAAAGCGAGGGCAAGACAAATAAGCAGTCGATGAATTCCATTACCGTTCACACATATTTACCAATTCGTTCAAACCATAGAGGTGCTCGAAAGGTATCCGCTGTTGAACCAATGAGCGAGCAGCACGGACATGATCACGAAACTTTCCGATGCGCGACATTCCTCCGCAACACCCGCGACTGCAACACACCAACAGGCCAGGCGCCACTTCCGCTCCTTTAGACGCCGCTCACACTACCTTGCGTCGCCAATTGACATATCCATCCCATTGACGGCAGCGTGCATCGTTGTTCTCCATCTCACTCGTAAACATGGCCAGCACAACTGTCATCAACGCCAACGCGACGGCAAAGGTTCAACCCTCCACGGCGCCGCCAATTGAGCCATTGAAGAACGATACTGCACGACTTTACACGCATATACACCCGATACTCGTCCTCTCGGTCTATGCCTTCAAGTTTCCTGCATTGGTCGCGGACCCGGTGCCGACGCTCCTTTCCACTCTGGCGCCGCTCGCCGTGCTGCAAATCGCCTTTGTGGCAGTATGCCTTCCGCCAACAGGAGGGACGCCTTCCTTGAAGAGCAAGAAGCCTGGTGAGAAGAAGGGGAAGGCACCTGGCAAGCTGGAGCAGGGGCTCAATTCGAAGATTGTCGTACGTCTACACTCCCACTCGTACAGCCTACATTAGGCTTTCGACAGCATACTCGAAAGAGACATCACTGACTACGGATACAGCCGGCATTCTTATCACTCCTCCTTACCACGCTCGCCGCAACACCGCTCCTCACCGCGACCCTCGTTCTCTTCGGTGCGCCTGCCACCACGCATCACATGCACACCCTCCTTGCTGGTGCCCACATCGCGCTGCTCAGCACACTTCCTTTGGTATACGTGCACGGAGTAGACGGCGAGACTTGGAGGCAGATCATCGCGCTACTTCTGCCTATGGATGAAGTCTACGGAGGACTGATTGGTACCGTGCTCGGTGCATGGCTGGGTGCTGTACCTATTCCATTGGATTGGTAAGTACTCGACGGAATTCAGCGTTGAGACTGGAGTCGACAACGTATTTGCAATGGGCATAGCTAACGAAACGCAGGGACCGCGAATGGCAGAAGTGGCCCGTCACTATCGTTACCGGCGCTTACATTGGTTACGCAGTAGGCAAACTGCTCGGTGGCACACTGTTGAAGGGCAAGAAGATCATATTTGACTAGAAGCTCATGTGGCGCTATATGATCATGCTTGACGAGCGGGTCATGGTCCTGATTGGGATCTTTCTTTTCCTGAGTGGATTGTCCGGTTGCTTGTCATGATGTGTGGACACTGGACAACGGAGAGTTGTGGGTGCGACGCTCTGTTCATTTGCAGGTATTGAGAAGCGATCGATCATAGTCCGCTACCTTTTGCGGCGATATCAATACGATCAGCTCGCCTACATGCTCAAAATCGAATTTTGACAGGGTTACACTCGTCTCTTACAAGGTACAAAATTATTCCGCAAGGTCACAAGTTGATATGAACCGCACGGATACTGCAGGTATTACAAGCGTCTCGTCGCGAGACGCCGACCTAATAGCTCTCGGAGCTCCGACCGATGCGAGCTTCCTCCACAAAAGCCAAGCTTCCGCCCGGCATTCCCAAAGCGGCAACCCCGGCGCAAACACGACCCTCTCTCCAGCTTCCTACTGCCCACTTATCTGAATGCAGTATACCCAAGCCTAGCATATCATTCTGACATCGTTTCGGGCTAATTTGAGCTCGTGTTTAGGCTTCTAGACGCGTGTTGAATACCTGGCACCGAAAAATTGAGTTGACGGGGTGCCCACGAGCGGGGTTCGTGGTCATGATGTTGATCGAGGCGGGGGATGCGGGGGACTTGTTTAAAAGGCACGATGTCCGGCTGAATTGGCGGTACGCCGCGTGTCTTGATTTCTTGGATTCAATTCTGCTACTTTCGAGCTGTGTATACGTTGGCATACTTGATTGAATTGAGGTATGTTCTACAGCAGTCTCCGGATTCACACTATTGTAGACAAACACATTACAGTCGCTAACAACCTTCAGACTTTTGAATACTACACGAATCCATACCAAGCGTAACAATGTCGAGAAAGCATTTCTTCCCCAACCCGGAGGGCGTGGTCCTACACAACCTCCGCTCCCTATGCACACGCAACTCCCACATGGCGCTCGATGAGGCCAACCGCGTCGTTTACAACCTCTCACACCCTCCGAATCAAGTCACCATCGTATCTGGCGGTGGCTCAGGACACGAGCCGGCATGGTCCGGCTTCGTCGGCGACGGCATGCTGTCAGCTGCCGTATGTGGTGACATCTTCGCGTCTCCCAGTACCAAGCAAATCATGGCCGGAATACGGAATGTACCAAGTAATGAGGGTGTCATTTTGTGCATTACCAACTACACAGGAGATATGCTACATTTTGGTCTCGCGAGAGAGAAAGGGCAAGCACTAGGCTACAAAGTCGACGTTGTGTGCATGGCGGAAGACGCTGCCCTGGGTCGCGAGAAGAGCGGCAAGGTGGGAAGGAGAGGACTGGCTGGTAACTTGTTGGTTATCAAGCTTGCTGGTGCTGCATCACAGAAAGGCTGGGCTTTCGAGCGGTGTAGGAAGATTGGCGAGTTGGGCAACTCGCAGCTGGTTACTATTGGTACGAGTCTTGATCATTGCCATGTGCCGGGCCGAGAAGCATTCGAGAGCGTGCAGGACGATGCTTGTGTGGTTGGTATGGGTATTCACAACGAGCCTGTAAGTTTCATCAGCTCAATTCTGCCGTCCCAAGAGCCTCAAATTGACTTTCGCCAGGGTTTACGAACCATCTCTCCGATGCCCAGTCCCGAAGACGTGATCAAAGAGATGCTCCGCTACCTCCTCGACCCCTCCGACTCTGACCGCGCATTCGTCACCTTCAATCCCAACGATAACGTCGTAATGCTCGTCAATAACTTCGGCGGTCTGTCAAACCTCGAATTCGACGCCCTGGTGAACCTCGCCCTGATAGCCCTGAAGCGCGACTGGAAGATCGTACCAACACGCATCTACGCCGGCGTGCTGGAAACGTCTCTCAATGCCCAAGGCTTCAGCATCACACTTGGCAACATGAGCGGAATGGCAAAGGCCATGGATCTCAAAGATGAAGACGTCATGGAACTGCTAGACGCACCCACAAACGCCCCAGCATGGCCAAAGAATGGCTACCAACCCCTCAACATCAACAAGGAAACCGAAGAGCTCCGCAACAAAGCCAACGCCGCCGCCGCCGACAAATCCCTCCTCCACAAGGGCCCCGCGACGCCACCATCCCTCATTCCCGCCCTCCGTCAAGCCTGCAAAGACGCACTCGCAGCCGAACCCACAATCACACAATACGACCTCCAAATGGGCGACGGCGACTGCGGCGAAGCCGTAGCCGGCGTCTGCAAATCCATCCTCGCCAACATCGACGCTGTAGAAAGCAGCCCACCACCCATCCTCGCCCTCCTCGAAAGCATAGGCGAAAACGTCGAAGACGTCGGCGGCTCCCTCGGCGCCATCCTCTCTATCCTCGTCACCGCCTTCACGAACGCACTTTCAAAAGCCACACTATCGCAGAACGCACCACTAGATATCTCCACACTCGCATCCTCCGCGTCCGCTGCGCTCGAGAACCTCAAGAATTATACCAGTGCACGGGAAGGCGATAGAACGGTCATGGACGTTCTCATCCCGTTTATCAATACATTGGCTGAGAGCAAGGATCTGAGCAAGAGTGTGGATGTCGCGGAGAAGAAGGCGGATAGCACAAAGGATATGAAGGCCAAGTTTGGGCGCGCGACGTATATTAGTGAGGATGGGAGTGAGAGGAGTAAGATTCCTGATCCGGGGGCGTATGCGGCGGGGATTTGGCTGAGGGGGTTGGAGAAGGGGTTTGGGGGGTCGTAGATAGTAGAAAGGGTTAAGTTGTCTATATTAATTGATACATGTTTCGTTGTGGAGTACCTAGGAGTGGTGATGGATATTCCCGGCATCGCAGAAGGGAAGGACGCGGTAAGCGTGAAGTCAGAGGGCGAGCGACCACGGTGCGCTGTCATTCTGGTCGCTGCGGCCCTGAGCAGTGCGCATTTGCCCTATAGGTAGTGCTGTTCACGGGATGCGACTGGCGCGATGGTTGCCGCGGTTTGGGGCTGAGAGGCAGTACCGATGTTTACTTTGCCCCGCCCGATCTGAATTTGTCCGGCGCGCGACGCGCCTCCCTGCACGCATTGGCACAGCTTGGCTTCGCCTCCACAATCATGAGCTTTACACATATACTTGCCCGGTGAACAAGATGCCAGCCCAATGCTCTGCCTTGTGGCTGACATGTAGCCATTCGTGGCGTCTGCTTGCTGCATATTGCATGTCGCGCGAGGTGCTGCGTTGTCAGGCAGCATCTGTCGCAACATTGGACGGCGTCCAAAGCAGCCGCCTCGAGTCAATTAATCCAGCATACCTCGCTGTTCTCGTCTGTAGCAAGTTGATCAACGTCTACTCTCATCTCTTTTTGTCGAAAATTGAAAGGGAAAATAAGTATCGCATCGACTGGTCGTCATGGGGAGACTTTCCGACCTGTTACTTCCAGTGCTCACATGGAGTTATCACGGAGCCTTGCAACATTACACATTACAGCCCATTCATCAGATATACCGCGATCAACACGAACCTCAACTTCTGCGCATTCTGTTTGTCAAGTTCAGATATTCGAAAGAAAAAGAGACTTCATTTGTAACAGCAGCCGTGAGCTACATCTCGATTCTAATGTACAGGTCTATTACTAATTTCGTCAATCAGGCTATCATGTTGACTGCGGTCGACGTTGGCATATTCTCATGGCCAGAGGTGACCACCACAATCTGGGCGGCGCGCATGCTCTGGCACTCCAGTCTGTGGTTGGCCGTTACCGCCCTGATCAGCTCGACGCAGCTACGCATGCTGGAAGATCTCCCGCACTCGCTTACGGATGCGCAAACCCTCACAAACGACCAAGTCTCTGCGATGTTACACATTGTTCTCAAGGAATGCAAGTGCGACTCAAGCGAGCAATTGGGGAGTAAAGACGTTGAAAGTCTGAAGCCCGACGGACAAAACGACCCGCAAGACACTCTGCGCCGTCCCGCTTTGAAGCAGTTCGAGAAATGCTTTTGGTTGACGTGGACATGGCAGGTGCCACTCATGCTTATGAGTCAAGGATGGGTGTGCTTCATCTCCGGGTATGCGCTGCATCTGCTGTCGCCTATCATTACTCGTCAGTCGTGGTCCACGGAATGCACGGTATATATGCACCTGGAAGTTTTGCTTATGCAGTAGAAAGTATTTAGCTTACGATTGATCAGGGTAGTCTCTTCGCCATTCTAGTAGGAGCTATCGCTGCGGTCAACTTCGCGTTGACGAGCCGCGTCGGTAGGAGCGCCACTGCGATAGCGATGAGATCGTCTCGGCAGAGAGAACTTGTTGTGGACGCTAGATCTAGCGGACTGAAACCTGTTGCGAGTGCTGAACAGCTCAAGCTGTAATCGACGATTCGACCCTTCGTTGGGGTCTTGGTCAAGCGACGCGACGTCGAATAGTATCTGGGAAAGGCCGATGGGGAAATAATCTCTACATGGGAGGCGTTCTGTCAGTACATGCATCGTGTTTTCTTTAGAGGGAATGATACGTACAAATTATCGATGCACTTATATTCTATGCCGTCGAAGTGTGCGTTTGGGTGCTCTGTGTCGAAATCGGGTGATTGGTTTGTTCAACTCAGATAGTAGACTGACCCCGCAACCAACAATGAACCTCGCCAAATCAGCTGGAACAGACCCATGGCGTGTTTTGAAAGTCTCCAGGGCAGTATTCACGTTCTTGCGATTATGCTTGTTCTTCAGCAACTGCGTTCGCTCCTTTTGTGATCCCAGTCTGTGACTGGACAGGTGCTTAACAACGGAGAGTTTGACAAACTCTTTTGCGGCTGTCTGGCAATTGTTGGACGCGGTATATTTCGAGCCAGAGATGGATTCGGCATGTTTCCGCGCTTTGTTGAAACGATTCTTGTTAGTGTAACCCATCCTATGGGCACTCAGATACGGTCTTTCCTTTCCGTCCCTCGTGAGCTGTTGCCAACGAGTGGCGTCCATTTTCCGAGCGATCAACAGCCCATCATCGCGGATGAACTCCGTCCCACCAAATGGCGTCCATACAGCAGCGTGGTGAAGGTAATCGTAGTTACGGAGTGGTTCAAATCCGTCGATTGATGATTTATAATGGAAGACCGGGTATAAGGATAGAGGAGAGCGTGATCTTGACGGACTATCACTCGAAGTTTCATCGAGAGAAATAGTTGGGCTTAACGGTGGAATAAGACTTGAGCGACGCGAATTGCGCGAATGATGCGGACGCCAACGATAATGCGGAGCGTTTTTCCGCATGATGGTGTAAACGATGATAGAGCTGCTGTGCGGGTGTGATGAGGATGGCTATGCGATTTGAAACCTTCCGGGTTTGATGGCAGAAAGGTAAGACTTGTACCGTAGTGTTTAGCGAGGGTAGATAGATACTAAGGATGTTGGAAAACAACAGGTAAATTTGATGGATATTTATCCGTGAGTTCGTTGCCGTCGTGCTATCTTGCGCAACGCCAATCTTGTTGTCGTGACGTAGTGCCTTGAGATGTGGGGGCTGTGCTTACAACACTAGGTTGCTTGTCGAATCACCTTATGAATAGCATGGACCGAAATAGCAGAATGTGGCTGCCACTGCCTTGCACGCTGCGCATCGAACGAGGAAAACGTTTGCCAAAATAAATCGTAAGCTGCAGACATGAGCAAATATGCGCAGCCTATGGTCTCAGTCATCCCGAGAGCCCCCAACTACTAGAGTCATGCACCGCGCAGTGTGCGCCAAACTTCTCGTGCTGCCAGTAACCGTCCCCCCGATACAGCTGTTTTGGATCCACAGAATCGCCCATGTCAAAGTCACACTTGATGCTAGAGGAACCGTCCGATATATCCTGCAGTGCCTGCCAGGCCAGCCCGGACGGGTCCCAAAGGTATTTCGAGTAATCGGAACTCACAGCATGCCAGCCGGACTTTGAAACTTCGCCGAGCGCCTTCTGCCAGGCCGCTGCCTCTTGCATGAGATCGAATATCTTTCTAGTGTCTTCGGGCGATGCGTCAGAATAAAAGGTGAAGTTGAACGCTTCCTTGGGTATGTCAAGTGATGCCTGTAGTGCTCTGACCTCGGCGATCCAATCCCAGAACGTCTTAAGTACTGTGCGACGTTTAGTAATGATCTCGCGCTATAGATATACGTGCCACTTACTGTCCGCATGATGCGCGTGCTGCCGATGCCAAGCCCGTCTATCAGGTTGACGAGCTTCTTCGACAATAGTATTCATGAGACTGACGCGACGATTGATGCGAAGCTTGGGGTTCTCTCGCCACAACGGGATGAAGCCCTCCGCATGACACATGGGGAAGAACCTGGAGCGCCTATCCTCGTCTACATCGAATCGTCGGATTTGCTTGCGGGTCGTCGGGTCGAGGGCGTTCCAGAATCGTATTGCCACGGCCGCTGCGGAAAAGTACGATGACGGTTTATCTTCAACCATAACAGGCCTTCCATCGATCCGGCTGAAACGGATTTCGAGAGGGTTCGTTTTCCTCTGGAATTCCCAACAGGGCGCTTGCTGCTCCGGACCGGTGTTCAAGAGCGACAACAAATGTAGACGACTTAGAGTACTGAATAGTGATCCGGGGATATCCAAGCGCTCGTTCATTATCTTCACGGCACGGGAGACGAATCTCTGCTCCGTAGACCAGGCCTCTGTAGCTGTGGGAGGAGTGCAGCGCATGTATTTCCTACCTGGCCCCTCCCTATCTCTGTTTGCTATCAACTCCCGCAGCGCGTCCCTATACTGAGGGAACCCTTCCAGGATCTCATCGGCTACACTTGGGGTAATGCATCTAGAGAGCTGCACCAGAGCCCTGTGATGGTCGAAGGAATGCCCTTTTGTTACTCTCAACGAGTGGTAAGCTGCCCTTATGAAGCGCTTCTCTTCGGTAGTCGTGGCGTGGATGGTATTGTATTGGAGCGCTAACCCTTCCGTCTCTTTTGCGATAGCGTGGCATGTTAATCTCAATGATAGATCAATGGGATTTCCATCAACTGCACGCAAGGTGTTCGTGGTGGGATCGATGAGATAGCCACCACGCGCCGTGAAGTAATGCTTGTAAACCTCGTCTCGCAACTCCTGTGGTAGCCTGCCGAGGTAGCTATTGGAGAGCGAATCAGACGCCTTGACTCCATCGTCTGCGTCAGATTTCGAGATGTTTGGTGCCGTGCGCGACGTGTCCGGTTCCGACATTGTGGGTCGTGGCCCTTCCGAAAGCCAATGGGCTAGGGCTGGTTCCGCGGGCGATGATCTCAGCGAAAGTGTGTATAGTCATTCGCATTCATCGACCCTTGCGCTTGTATCGTTGCCTGTCCTTATAGTCACAGTACGCAAATTCGTAGCGAATGCAAGTATGCGATAAAGACGTGAGGCCAGTTGTGAGGTACAGTATTGGAGGGGTCTCGGCAGGTGTCTACCCCTGGTAAGTGTCCGTGGCGCATGGAACATGAACACGTGCACGGACAGATTATCGTAGATGAAGGCAGCACGAGACAGACATCGTCAAGGACATGAGGTTCTAAAAAGTAGTTGATTCGCGCTATATACTGCTTTGGTGACAATGTTGCATTCGATGCGAGAGAAAGTCGTAGTAATATAGTTGAAAGAAGCGAGGATGTTAAACACTAAGCACGTTGACTCTCCATCATTGCGACCCGCATCACCAGATGGAGCCCTCGTTCTGCACGCCATCGGAAATCAGATTCTTCATGCGCAGCGACAGCCACCTTTTCAAAGGCTCTTCGGTGTCGTGGTCGGCGCCATGGTTGTTCTTTTTGAGGAGTGCCCAATCGTCGAAAGAAGGAAAGTGTTGCCAGACAGAGGGCCATTGTAAGGCTACAGGATCGAAGACGGGAGGAAGGGGTGGTGGAACTGTGAAGTTGCATTCCACACTAACAACTTTATCGTCGAGGATATCTTGCATGGCCTGTGGAAAGCCCTTCATGATATAACATGGGCTCTTCCTGGTCTCATACCACCGAACAGCGCTGGGCTTATGGACCCAGGCCTGTGGGTTGGCACAGTGGAGTTCGAAGGCTTTCTGGCACGCGATATCTACCTGTACAGTCTGGAATACATGGAATGTCTTGTTCGGTTGGAGAGCGCCGTCGAGGATTAGCGAGAACATGCCCACTGGCATGCCTAGCTTGATCAGGGCGAGGGCCTCCATCACCCATGCTGCAATAGCTTCAGTGACATGCTCAGCACGCAATTTCCGGAGACCCGGGTCTGGGGATTCTCGATAGGTGGAAACAACCTTGTAGAGAGGATCGGAGCGTGTTTGCAACACGTTCCCCCAAAGGTCCACAATACGCGCGATACGCAGTTGTGGATTTTCTTTACAGAACGGGATGAGACCCTCCGCATGGCACTCTGGTTGCCCGACAGAAACGTGTTTCTCATGCAGGGTGATGGCGTGCATTCGCTTGCGTACAGCGGTGGGTAGACTATCAAGGAAGTGGATAGCGATAGCAGCGGCAGAGAAGCGATACTTTAATCGGTCCCAGTAACGTCTCGGATAGTTTGCCGATGCCGGCTGGAGTGAGTCGGGTACTATACGGCTAATCTCTTCGACATCGTCTTGGCTAGGAAACGACCATGGGTCGACATGAGAGTCCACGATGCGGCGAACATCTGGCACCACATCAGTCCAACAGTCCTGTGTCGTTGAGAACTGATCGAAGTTTGGTAGTTGCGCCAGGTAATCCAGTACTGAGGAGGTGAATCGACGATTCTGTGAAGCGGGTTCACCCAACGCCTTGATCCAGTCCATAGGCCACCTCGAAAGTGCCGCGATATGTTTGGGAATGATGCTTCGGTATAACGGAAAATGCTTGGCTACATGGTTGTGAGCACTATCAAGTTGGCCTCCAAATGCGGCGCTGCCGAGTACCAGGTAGTTCTTGTTTGCGTCTATGGTCCGCAGCAATATGTCGAAGTGGCCAGCTCTCTCCGAAGTAGATTCGCAATAGCTTGTAGTGAAACAGACATCGTTCAGCTTGAACGGAAGTGAGCGGGTTTCGATGGCGATCCGGCGACATACCAGGCCAAGTTGGTAGTTGACGCAATCTCCGCGCTCAGTCGTGAGTGTGTTGGTGGTATAGTTGTAGTGGTAGCCACCTTCCATCGTGAAGTAGTACTCATACACTCGCTCGCGCAATTCGCGAGGCCACTTCAAGAACCCCTCCAAGTTGTTCCTGGCAGGGATGGAGGGCGAGTGGTCGCACGCCGCGCTGTGCTCGGTCTCGTCGGGGGCAGCTTGAACATCAAGGGCGCTTGATGTCGAGGTTTGAGTGTGTGGACGTTTCGATGGCTGTTCTTCGCTAGGCGAGCCGGAGCGTGAGCGCTTTCGGGATATCGAGGGCGTCATCTTGAAGCTAGATGCCTGAATGGTTGTAGGCGACGGTGGGTGGCTACTCGTTCGTGAGGATGGGGGGTGTGACGACGTGAGATAAGCGGCTATCTCAGCGCAATTGGTGGCGTGTTTTTCCGAGTAACTGTTGCTGATAGGTAGCAAGTGTGTATGGAGAGATGGAGGCGTCACAGCAGGTCTGAGGGCGCAATGGCTGTTGGACGTCAAGCTGAGCGTACCTAGGTAGCTTCATGTCGCGTCCGCACGCGTTGAGATACGGCCTCGGGAACGCCGCAGTGTACGCGACGCTGGCGGCCCGACGTCATCGATAGAACTACCGGCGACCTGGAAGCTCGAGCGCGGGCTATCGTTCATCTGTTCATGGGCCGGTGCTGTTTGCCGCTTCAGGGGATGTGGTTGTGCTAGTTGCGTGGTGCATGGGCAAAGGCGGGACGGGGAGCTGCAGGTGAAACCCGCCGCCGATGGATGCTTTTTACAGCTCAACGGCACGCCTTGAACTACCCACCTTGAGGGACTTCGTGCCCGACCTTACATCAACAAAAGCAAATATTTGACTTCATCACCCTAGAAAGCAGTCGGTCAGATGTATCAATTCCAAGATTGCATGGCGTTGGTGGCGCGGCTCAAGAAACGAGGATCATCTTCCATGCCGCAGATGGCACAGCGCTCCGACGGTTTGGGGGTGAAAATACGACTATCGCAAAGCCTGCAACCTTCTCCTATCTGGCTTCAAGACTCGGGGTCGCAAGGGGGGAGATGGCCACCCCTGCATTGCCACCAAAGTTTGCTGATCACAGCAGACCATGCTTGGGAAGTCGAGGCGGCAAGGATGTGTACCCAGCAGCATCGCATGCGATGTCCTCGAGATCAACATTGCTCATCTGGAGCTCACTTGATGTCAATCTCACGCGCTATGAGCAGCAGGAAGTCGAAGAGGGGGACAGACATCCAAGAGCAAAGACTTTGTATTATGTAATAACTAGATACATGATGAAACGAATAGCGGCATATCAGCCAACAAACCGAAAGACATGTCCCAAATAAACTGCAAGGAAAAGTAGTGACACAGATAAGCTGTCACGGGCAAAGCTCATCGACGCATATCCCATGGGTTCCGCCCAGTCCGTCGCTTCTCTTCCCTCCATTCTTTTCTCTGGACTCTGAGCGCGTGTTTCCCAAAAGCAGGCGCCCCGTTGGAAGCAGAGTACACTCGTTCCGCATGTAGCTTAGCCCACAATCTTTCCTGCTTCTCTTCCGCTGTTTCGACCGATCGTCCAGCTGGGTATTCGGATGGGCGTTCGATGGACTCGTATGGCTGCGCTCCGCCTAATTGAACGGCCTGCCGCTGTCGGTCCCTCGTTCTTCGGTTTCTCTGGCGTTCTTTCGCTCGCTCTTCTACCCTTCGCTGGTGGAGACGCCTTCCTTGCCATACGGGCTGCCACACATCTCGTGGAGCAGGGTTGCTTGTTGTCGTAGTCTGTTCGATAGCAGTCTCTTCCATAATCTCTTCGCTACTCTCCTCGGCTTCTTCCATGTCAATTTCAGACCACCACGCGAGCTCCTCACCGCTCTCTGGCTCAGGCCAGATGATCTGGGGCGCGAACTCTGTCTCAGTGTCGTTGGGGTCGATTGGGACTCGAGCTGTGTTCCCCTCGAAGAACGGCAATAAATTGGTGTAATGAACCAGAACTACACAACCTGGATATGGCGGCCCCTGTTTCCGAAGCCGCTCAATGTTGCGATTGTCTAGCTCTTGTTCTTCCCACTCGAGCCACCAAGTTTCCAAGTCCCAGTGAACATGGCCATAGGGCACCGGCCTCGCGTCAGCCAAATTCTTAATGGGAAAGTTGCACTTGACAGCTGACGTTCCATCAATGATGTCGTGTATAGTTTCAACGAAGCCTGCCATGATAAAAGCTGGACAAGTTCGCATGTCGATCGACTTGAAGGGCCCATCGGAACCGGTCGATGCACACTTTTCAAGTGAAGACTGCCAGACTGCGTCATCCACGGCCACGTCAAAGATCTCCGAAGCGAGTGATGGGTTCGTACTTTCTGGTACCGGGTCTCCATTAAGAATCATCGTGTATGCGTCTTTGCGCATGCCTAGATGCGGTAATACAGACACTTCTTGAATCCAACGCGCGAGAGTAGAGCTACTGTACGTCGGCATACAGGCATGATTGTTGACGAGAATGTTCCTCCAAATGTTGACATGGCGCTCGATCTGCAGGTGCTCATTCTCCCAGGAGAAGGGTATGAGCCCTTCAGCGTGACACTCGGGCCAAACAATCGAGGTGTCATCCTCGTGGAGGACGATCTTTCGGATCATTTTCCTGCTTGGCTCAGAAAGTGAATTCATGTACCGGATAGCAACGGATACAGCTGAGTACCGCCGCATCCCCTGACACTGGACCTGTGGCAGCTCTCGTAGAAAAGCATCTTGATACTGTGGTATCGGCCCGTTAGGCAACCGATTGATCTGGGCATCGGTAGGAATGCACCAGGGTTCGAAACCTTGAGCTTTGGAGATGCAGAAAAGTCTACGTGCATCGAAGACCTTTTCTGTGGTCACCTCTGCCTGGAAGGCCGGTCTGGTGAGGATGGATTCCAGTGTTGATTCGACAAATTTGCGAGTAAGCGACGGAACCTCCTTGTACCCGAGATTGAACCTGAAAGCCTCGGCGTAGCTGAGGGAACGAGTGTGCTCAACGACAGGTAAGAACCGAGCATGGTTGTCTCGGATATGAGCAAGGGCTTCATCGTCCAACCATTCCGACAACCACTCCGTTCCTGTCACTATGTCTAGCAACGCTGTCGACTTGTCTTTGATCATGTCCTTCAGCAGACGATTGATCCTCGAAAGATTCGGGTTGGTAGACGAACTTAGAACCGTAGAGAAATGGAGGTCGTTGTACTTGGCGACGGCGTCACGCGTCTCCTCGGCGATGAGCTTGTTCACCCTGCTGAGCGCCAGCCTGTTCTCCTCGTAGTTTGAAGCGACGAACTTATTGGTCTCGGGATTGAAGGTATACCCGTCTTCAAGCGTGAAGTAGTATCCATAAATCTCATCCCGAAGCTCTCCCGGTAACCGCAGGAAGCCGCTCTTTGGTGAGGTTTGAGCGCTATCTTCCGACATTGGAGTGGAGATGGTATCTTCCGGCACCGGAAAATGACTGAGGTCTTCCGGCATGGGAGAATAAATGACATCTTCCGGTCTGGGAGAATAAAGGATGTCCTCCGGCAAGGGAGAGTAGATGAGGTCTTCCATCATCGGAGAGTAAACGAAATCTTCCGACATTGGAGAAGTGGGTGAAAGCAGTGTCGAAAATGCGTAATGATCTTGACGTTGCTGGGTGTCACTCGAGTCGGCGCTGCTAGTGGCACAGCGGGTAGGTATACTTTCTGGCGTTCGCGGAGGCCATGCCGTGGCGCGACGCTACAATGATGTTCGTTGCTTTTGGATACATGCGCTAAGTAGTTGCATGGGGTGAAACACCCCGCTGTCGGTGCGCATCGATGCGTCGCTCCAGAGCGCAAAAGCAACCCACGCCCATCGTAAAGGCAAAACGAGGCATTTGCACTGTACCATACGTAGGTTGTTATCCGCAGGCAGGTGCATGCAGAGTGCATCGTCGTAGAAAAAGAATAGCAGGATACTGCACTGATTGCAGGTACCCGTCGTGGTATCCAGATGGCGCTTGCATCATCGGTCGGGAAGTGGAACGCCAGATATACCTTTGCTTATTGCATTGCGCGTTCGCTATACGGATTATATGCATCGGCTGTTTCTTCTTCTGGGTGTTGCAAGTGGTGCTGCGAGGCTGAGATTGGGAGGCAAAGATGCAAGCCTCTTCACAAAGGCTGGCATCGTAACATCATTCAGGCATCCAAGCGCGCTGAATATGCGCTATTGTGTTGCGGGCTCTTCGTATGATTGTTGATCGTATTTCTGTCGATGGAAGTGGGAGTTCGGTGTTGCAACGTAGCTTCTTGGATAGGCGGGCTGGATGGGCGGGCGGGATAAGCCTCCCGAGGTCATACGAGATGCGCTACATGCATACAACTCGAGCCTCAACGCATGGCCCTCGAGTTGCTTTCTATGCTGCGCGGACGCATGATATCCGTTACTGCTATGCGCGCAGTCACTTCATAAGCATAGACGAGCAAGCATATGGTGAATGAGGCGACTTTTAAGATGTCTATTGTATTGAGCGTGTCAATGCCTACCTAGGCAGGTATGAACGTGAAGAGGCAAGAAGTGAATCAAAGACATGTTAAGACTCGTTCGAACACTATGAAAGGAACAGCTGCTTTATGCGACCACCCCACCAAGACGAATAAACTTACACGCGCTCAACGCCCTCTTCGTCCAGTAGATCTTCCCTACGAATATCAAGCCAGCTCGGCAATGGCGCACTGGTGTGGATGTCAGCCTGGAGCTCCCCCATCTCTCGCCAATTGACCAGCCACTCCGCATCATTCCATGAGCGCCCTTGAGCCACAACTTGGTCGACATCCTGCACAAGACCAGGGCTGAAGTTGCACTTGACCGACGACTTGTCGTCGGTTATGGCTTGCAGGGCTTCCGAAAAACCTCTCATAATGTACGCGTTATTTTCCCTGGAGGCCAGCCAAATGGGCGCATTTTGGCAGTCGATCGCATCGATCACGCATCGCTGATAAGCCTTCTGCCACGCCGCGTCTCGCTGTAGAACATTAAAGATCTGGGTAGAGTTTTCTGGCACTGCCGCACCGTCTATGATCAGGGTGAAGGACTTCGGGGGCATGCCTAAGCTCTCTAATGCCAAGGCCTCCATGATCCAATCAGCCACACCGCCGTGGCCCATCTCCCCTCGGCTGACGATGCTCGCAGCGATCCGATCATACTTGTATTCTCGTAAGTATGCAAGCGCCCTACCCGTGATGGCATGAAGGGGGGTGGATGCGGAGGGTAGGCAGGCTCTCCACAAGTCAACCCTACGTTCTATGCGTAGTTTGAGATTCTCTTGACAGTATGTAACCAAACCTTGGCCGTGGCATTCGGGCCATGCGACACTAGTGTGGTCTTCAAGTAGTAGTATCTTACGTATACTAAGTCGCGTTTCCGTAGAGATAGAGCCCAAGAACGCAATAGCCATAGTCGCGGCTGAGAACCGGTACTTCTCTCCGGTCCAGTAGCTTCCTTGTCTACGGCGACTGAGTTCGACTGGGTAGGGCGACATAGTTTCGCGCATAGCAGAAATTGTCTCGCTGCTTGGGAGTGTCCATGGCGAATGCTCGTGCGATATCACTGCCACTGGATCAGGACCTGGCTCAGAACCAGGCCTCATCCAGTAGTGATGTCGCTCTATAGTGTCTTTAAAGCAGGGCCGTTTCGCTACAGTATTCAGTGTGGAGGTGATGAATTGACGACTTCGCGATGGTGTCTCTTTCCAGACGTTGCTGTTGCTGTTTGCGACGTAAGACGTCTGCAATGCTTCGACGACGGGTAAGAACTCGGGGAAATGTTCTTCTGCGTAGTCGCGTACTTCCTTGTCGACGAAACCAGAGCGCGATGAGCACCGTAAGAGATACACAGCTTTGAGTTTGGCAATCATCTCCAGGAGGGTGTTGAAGTGCCCGGCTCGTTCGCGGAGATCCTCATCGAACACTGTCGAGAAGGTGATCGTGTTTACTTCGAGTGCAAGGCTGCGGGTTTCGGCAGCTATTTGGCGACTAACGAGCCTGATGTTGAGGTCGATGTTCTGGCCCTTGGCCGTAATTAACCTATTTGTTTTGTGGTTGTGAACATATCCGCCTTCGACCGCGAAATAGTCCTCATAGATCTGGTCCCGCAGCTCTCTGGGCAGACTGTTGAATCCTGACAGCTGAGACATAGTTGTCGTTGTAGATTTGACTCAAAGGGCTGTGCGTTGAGATTTGTGTGTACCCTTAGAGAGAAGGTAGAAAGAAGGGAGGGCGTGAGCACTTATGCAAAGACGCTGAGGCCGTGTAGGCAGCACCCTACCCGGCGGTTCCGCGTGCAAAGTGGGAACCTTGGAACCAGGACAGCAGCCACCCGTTCGTTTGCGATGCTTTATTCGAAATGTATAGATTGTATGCCTGTGCTACGGATGTCCCAAGTTGTGAGTGGCTCATGAGCGATGGGTCATCGCAGTACCGTGGTTGTCGTAACGAGCGTTCCCCGCGCTGACGAGCGAAAAGCAAAAGCGCCTCTGACGCAACCAAATCCAGTCTGCCGACCTTGGGAACAATGGTTAGCATCTCTCCACATTGGATTGCGCTGAAGCTCAGACAGGATAAAAGCGATACTTTTCCATGTGTTCGCGCTTGACGTGGTCCCATTCCAATGCTCTCTGAATGACCCTTGAGGTGTTGCGCCACGATCGGCGCTCAATTTGCCGCCGGCTATCTACGAAGCAGGGTGGCAGGCCCGCAGGGCAGGTGTCAAGCTGCTACTATTACCGCATCGAATCCAGCTGAAGCCAAGCTCAAGATCTGAGTATGCAGGCCATACTCGTTCCAGTGCACGAGCGCATCGAGCCAGCGAGGCTAAGAATCAGCAAGCTGTTGTGTGCGGCATTTCGATGTCAACGATCCGCAGATGATCGCGCGAGCTGGCGAAGGGCGAGATCGAGCATGCGCACCATTTCATTCATCGTGAGAGCGTGTTTTGGTAGGACTTTTTTATTATGGTGAAGTGTTGATGCAGAGCAGGGCAACAATACGCAGTCGGTAACTCTATATAGTGATCTCATTGCAGGTGTATTTCCTAAACACCTTGTACTCGCTGTATGCAACTGTAGGAATCGAAACTAGAGGATAAGTCAGCATTGCGGACATTGTTGGGAGTGGTGCTGGCTTGGTGGACACATACAAACTCACCTTCTGACGTTTGCCGTGGATGTGGACGGCGACGACGTGCTGCAGATAAGTCAGGCGATGCGATAGTAGCGGCGAACGGATGGACTAACCTCGTAGGGGGCAACAGCAATAGGGGCGTGTCCAGTGGACTCAGGGGTGGACTCAGGGGTGGCAACGGGCGAGCTGCAGGGCTGTAGAAATGTCGAACTGTAGCTGTCAGATCATGCGAAAACGGACGGCGAAACAATGAACACGTACATATCCCCAATCCGAGGACTGAGAGGAAGCTCTTAGCACCTGGGCAGCAGAAAGGGCGGAAGTCAGGATGGGCGGAAGTCTAGACGGCCCGGCTGCTACGCATTAGTTGGATGACGTGGAAGGGACGGCGAAAAGCTGACCGTGGGTAAACTTCGGGTCCAGGGCGGCTGCTACGCATTAGTCGGATGACGTGGAAGGGACGGCGAAAAACTGACCGTGGGTAAACTCCGGGTCCAAGGGCGATGTCGAATCGTGGTACTGTACCGCTGCTTCGCATCCGTTAGATCATGGGCCAACGACAGCGAAATGACGGAACGTACCGAAATGCGAAATAATGTTCGCGCAGGTAAACCATGGTACTGCACATTGGTCAATATATGAGCAAGGCGGCGTGAAAGTGAGTGAACGAACCGGAGGATGGCAGCCTGGAGGGGATTATAAAACACTTCTGCCAAGAGAATGTTAGTAATGTTGGAAGCCAGTTGTCGCGTGGTTCAGACCTACCGCACACGGAGGATACTTCTCTTCTTCTTCTTTTTTTCTCCATCCAACAACTTTCCATCTTGAAGAACTCCTCACATCTCCAAGAACTCCATACACCAAGGTACCACTCCAACCCTGTGAAGGAATTAGCTTCCATGCACCTGCCCAAGTTGCAAGCCATCATACAAACTTGATACCAACACTGACATTGACATCACCTTGAAGATGTCCCTCCCCACGATAAACAACGTCGTGATCGGTACTTCCGACAACCTCCCTAGAGGTGAGTCAGCGAAAATGCCCCCAAGCGTCGCGTTGCCGTCTGTAGAAAGCTTACCCGAGAAGCGTCTCGTCATCGAGCACGCAACAGCTCTTGCCGTGCCGATCGCGGTGGTGAGCGACTACGAGAACGGCTGAACAAGGTTAGAATTGATGTCGCAACAGGCGCAGATACTGACTTCGAGTGCCGTCCCAGGTGAGACTATCCTTCTCATCAAGAACGCGATAACGTTTGCCGTTCGAAACATACAAGGGAACCTAGGTACTAGGTTCAACCCAGAAGCACAGAGCATACTAGAGATGCTTAACACCACCCCTAGGGTGTTGGTTGCTAGGCGGGTTAGCTCAGTTTGATATGATGAGTAGATGAGTATTATACTTACTCCTCCTCGTGCTGGGTGGGCTGTTCATGAAGTGGAGGCCAGACCTCTCACGCGCTGAACAGAGATTTGCAGACATGCAGTATGTGCGGCTGTAAAGATAGAAGGGTAGAGTTAGCGTAAAGCTCACACGAGTGGCATAGAATTCTTCCTTACCTCCAGCGGGTGGAGGTCAAGTTGTTCAGGGTGCCGCCGGTAGCCCTGACAACGGAAGAACGCGACTTTGTCGAGGCTGCGTCGCATAGCCTACGATGGTTTAGTCGAGGTCAATAAAGTGGAGTCTGGCTGCGTACGTATACGATGGGTGGAAGGTGGAGATCCTTCGTCGTCTCCGTCGGGTGTACGATCATCGGGCTGAGGTGCAGGCAGCACGTCTTGAAGGAGACCGCATTGGGCCTGAGCAAACAAGTCAGCTGAGTTCATCAAATCGGGATCGGTATGAGGTGACTCACGGGCACAGCATGCTGTCGCGAATGACCCGAGCGTCATCGCAAACTGGAAACGTGTTAGTGGTTGCAACGAAGGTATAGGCGCAAGAACAAGGTGGGGAAGGATCGGGCGACGTGAGGGCGTTCACTTACGTTCGGACCGCAGCCGTAAGAGCTTGGGAGTTGTTGGCATGGACGCTGTGGATGGTGAGCTTCGTGTCGATGAGCGGAGAAGATTGGATGTGCGTACGAGGACAGGCGGGCGGGCGGGCGGGCGGGCGGGCGAGGGTGAATGTGGACGGTGAGTAGCGGTTGCGCAATGTGGCTGTGTTTGGATGAGCTGAGTCCTGGAAGAAAGTCGCGAGTGGCGTCGCATACCTGATGTGGCCGGCTTGTGGGTGATTGCGCATGGGATCTGTTGTTTGCGTAAGTCGAGAACGGGAAAGGCGGCGTGGATAGTCATGGCATACATGGGTTGATCGTGTGGGTGTCGTGTAGGTGTCTTGGGTCGTCTTGTGTCGGGGGCTTCGTGCCGGCGATGGGCTTGCTGTCACTTGGGTAAGCTTAACACCGGGAAAGCAGCGCGTGGTGCGTCGCGTACCTTGGTTTCTTTTCGGTGTTGCGCGATCGCATGAGGCTGGTGCCGGTGCTGCTGCTGGTGTAAGCTTGGTGCTTGTTGATGATGCTGGTGGACTCATGTATACCTGGTCGATGGTCTGGATGGCTGTTAGTAATGTGTAATGAATGTGAAGCAGTCAGCCCGTCGCACTGCCAGGATGTTAGTAGAGTCCAGAAGTTGCGATCAATTCCAGGCCTGCATACATTGCGCGTGTAGTAACTATCGTGTTGGTGATGGGGGTGGGGGTGGTGCAGGTGTGAGTGTCGTGAGTCACAAATCTACAAGGCGAGCAGCATCAGTATGGGCGCGGTTGTTGGTGGAATCTGCGAAAGACTCACCCAGGCTTGCGTCAGAGATTTTCGAGTTTGCTATCGGGTCTCTTTCATCTGCATGTTAGCAACAGCTTGCGACACCAACAATACCCAGCCTAACTTACAACACGGTGACGCGTCATCGCGCAATCACGTGATCACGTGATCACATGATCACATGATCGTTTGATTTCAAAAAAAGTACGCTGTAGGCCCCGTCCCTCGGGCCCGGGGGGATGCTAGTTATAAAGCTCTAGCTGAGCTGGGGTGGGTAGAAGCGCTGCGTCTCGACCGCGGTATATCGAACCAGCGGCGGGGTGGAGGCAGTGTCGGGAGCTCTAGCTGAGCTGCTATTAAGGCGTAACGAGCCAGCAATGTGAAGAGAAGAGCATGGCTAAGAAGCTGGGGTCGGCGGCGGTAGTGGTGGTTGCTGGATGCAGTCGGTGGGAGCGGCCGGTTAACAGTAGTGATCAGTGGCAGTGGGGAGTTGGTGAGAAAGCCGCGCGTGTAAAACTAGACACGAAGAGTGGGATAGCTATGGGTTGCATGTGATAGCGGGCGGTGGAGGCGGCAGCAGTGGCGTCGCGCGTGCTGCTCGGCATAGAGCGACATCATAGGTATGGCTTGATGACCGTGGTGACGGTAGTAGTAGTGGTAGTGGTAGTGGTAGTGGTGGGAAGGTGCGGAGGCGGCGTCGCGTGCGTAACTTGGCACGGGCCGTGAGAGAATTGTAGGGTGAAGATGGGGCGGCGTAGGTGGTGGTGGTGGCGGTGACGGTGGACGGAGATGGCTGCGAGTCAAGGTTGATGAAGATGGCGACGGGCCAAGGCAGCGATGGGCGGACATGGCGGCTGACAAAGACGGTGAGTGGTGAAAGCGGCGGTGGTGAGGGCTGTAGAGACGGTGTTGTGCTGCACACTGCAATCAGGTACAGTGCGAGAGGATGGCCAGGCGGCGACGAGATGAGTGCGCGCATGCCAATCTTTGCGATGAAATGCTGGGAATACGACGAGCGAAAATATCGATGTTGCCAATGTGCTCCACGAAGACGCATGACGGTAATGTGGGGAGGACGTGGGTGTGGGTGTGGGTGCGGATGTGGAAGCGGAAGGCATGGTGTGGAGGCGGAAGAGATCGGATAGCAAGGCTTTGCAGCGAGTTTGATTGAACTATGTAGATTGATCGTTGCACCAATGAGTAATACTAAGATGAAGTCGTCACACTAGCAGTAGGAGCTGCTAGCCCCGGGGGCGC